CCTGTTTTTCTCCAGTTCTCTTCCCCCATAAAAATCCTTGTACAGAGTTTTGAAGAAATAGAAAACGTGCGAGTGTGCTCTGTGCAGTTATAAAGAACGTGAGGGTTGGCAGAACACAAGAGAAAAGTTAGGAGAAATATGACACGTAGCGGAGTGCTTCTTAACACTTCTCGAGTGATCTGCCAATCCCCAAGTGCTTCATAACTGCACACAGCACAGCAAGCAAGTTTTTTATCATTAAAAAAAATACAAATTACAATAACCGTTATTTTAGATAGGAATGACACAACAGAAAGCGTGTGCGCATGCTGTATGCTCTCACTATTTTATAATGTCTGTTTTAATAATACACATAGACTGTGTGGAGTGAACCTTATGAACCACCAAATCATAGATGAAATGAGAAAGTGGAGTGAATTTAAAAGACTTTTATTTTACAATTGTCCAATCAAGAATTCACAACACACAAAACAAGGTCATCAACAAAATGAAATGTTTTACAAACTTTCCTTCATGACGTTGGTGATGTCCTTGACTTTCTTGGCAATGGACATGTCAATGTGTTTGTCACCAAAACTAACCACCATGCCGCCAATGAGGGAGGGATCAACCTGTTGAGCAGAAAAGAAAAATCAACTATATGCTCTGCAGACCCCGTTCATCATGGCTACACGGAAACCTGTTAACCTGGTAGGAAGGGCGCTCATTTATGGGGCTTTCTCAGGGGACACCATCTTTCTTTTCAAATTTAGCAGAAATCTTAGCTAACTCTCTTGAAAATATTTTCGCACTTATCCTACTCCCTAAGCAACATTATTTCATTTTCATTTTGTGGCCTAGAAATCCATAATTTCAAGAGGAAAAGTGACACCTCAGTTTTGCAAATTTCCTAGATTCCGATTGGCTAAATTATTCTCTCATATCAGCTGGTGTAAACAACCAATTTAAGTGCATGCTTTCATTTTGCATTGAAATTTTAATTATTTTAATTTTGTCAAGAAAGTAAATAGCTTATAATATAAGGTAAAACCTAAAAAGGATGCTATGTGATGCCTTTCTAGGTAACAGTCACCCCCCTTGAAATCAGCTTCATACCAAACACTTATATCATGCAATAGAAATATTATTTAATCTAACTATCATATTATTTACCAAAGTCTCAAGTTTAAGAGTTTCACCCTTCTTTAAGAACATCTTCAATGCGGCCTGTAGCTCTTTCGAGTTGGCATTATCTAGTTCCTGTGAATAATAAGGCATTGGTATCAAAAAAGAGCTTATGTCAATAACCCGGTCTAATCTACAGTATGTAAAACAACAAATTTTTCAAACCTTAGCAGTGGTAACAGTACACAAGACCTCTCCTCTTGTTGCACTCATTAGTTTGCCATAAGAATTGGCCACACTAGAAATAAGTTTCAACCTATTGTTTTCAGCCATGGTTGCTGTAAAAAGAAAATCACTATCAGTAAAAATAAAGCTTGTTTACTTTGGATTTAACCTCTTATTTAGATCTTAATTTTACGCTACATCAACTTTTGACGTTTTAACCACTTTTAGTAAAAATACGCAGGTGATTATAGAACATCTCGCGCTCTGATTGGTCAAGAAACTCGCACTATCACATGATAATCACCTCCAGCGATAATCCAAAGTGTTGGCCAGCCGCTTAGTTGCTGTTACCAGGAAAAAATTCCTTTTATCTTCTTTTTTTGAAAGAATCACCTGTGTATTTATACTAAAACAATTATTTGCCTCAGGCTCCATGATTATAGAGGAATATTTACCTCGCTGCTCGAAGACTTGCGTCTCGGTGAATATTCCCTGATAATCACTTCACCTTTGGCGAATTATTGTTAAATAATAATTACATGATAATTATTTTGAGAATATTTTTTTCACCAATCAAATCCTCCTTTTTTAGGAGGACATTTAATAACCAGGGCAACTTAATTCAGCATAAACTAATCTCGTTAAAGTTAGACTATGCAGTGTTTTCTTAATATTCCATTCTTGGCTTTCCAATCAAGGGTGAACATTTATTCATAGTCTGAAGTCTACCTATGAGCATGTCTTGTATAATTGATATCATATACTTTATTTACYGGCCAGGAGGTCCCTATCCAGATCTTAGGACACTTAATATTTTATTTATTTTTTCTCTTTACTTTTTGACTTGTTTAGCAATCATTTACCCCACACACTCCTGYGGGCGACCTCAGGATAATGACACATGGGCAGATACTGGAAAAATATCGCGCATTCAAAAAGCCAATCAGAATGCATGACTTTTAGGATACCACACCAGTAAAAAATGTAAATACTTACTTAAAAGATTAATAGTAAGATCAGACATCTTCTGTGCCTTTAACAACTCTTCCAGTGCAGCTGAAATTGAGTTTCAAAGAGTTAACCAAAATCCTCATCGGCAGCACCAACTACACATTAGGGTTAATAATAGGTTAACATCATGTTCTTCCTTTTCAAGCTTCTATGTATTGTTTTTCATATTTGAAACTCTGAATAAAGTATTATTTATTTGGACACTTGACAGTTGCAACTAATAACAGATTTCATTAGATCTTGCCCATCTGGCATTTCATACTTTGCACTTGGTTTTCAGACATTAAAGAAGCCATGTTCAGCATATTTGATGTTTAGGATTGACGAAAGACTTTTGCCAGCTTAAAAGTCTAGACTTGTGTCTGGTAAGGACTCAGAGCAATGAAATTGGTGGAAATTGATATACCTTGTTTTTGTCTTTTATTGGTTGTGGGATTCATTAAAAACTCAGACAACTTTTCACTTCCTTTGATCATTTTCTGAAAAAAATGAAATTATGCAATACTTTTAGCCATTCTGAATCATACTGACCGCTATCMTTTTTAACTCTGATGATCAATGGATTTCTCTTATCAAAAGATACTGATTTCCAATACCATTCAAAAAATCCCAATCTTCATCATCAGTGTATCATTAGGTCTATAAATATTAATAAATATTGGTGCAAACACCAAGCCTTTTTATTTACAGGTTTCTTCGGTTGAAAACAAGCATTAGATTTCCATTAGGGACTTTATCTATAGATATGCATGCTTTTGTGACAAGGTAGAAAAATAGAGGGGAAGACTCACATCTACGTTGTTGAGCTCTTCTTCAACCTTGTCTAGGTGTTTTTGTTTGGCCGCAGCCGAGTATACTGCATGAGCATAACGTCCATCAATACCAAACAAATGGATTGGAGGCTAAAGACAGAAACAAATAAAACAAAAAGTCAATTTTACAAGAAAAAGGGTCATTTTTATTTCTAAGTTGCAAGACGTAAAAGCACAAACCTTAACCAGTTCTTGGGCTCTTGCTACTGAGGTGACCCCAAACTTTCGAACCTGACTCTTTAAAAAGGGAGGAAAACATGGTCTCAAAAACTGGTTGGGAAGAATTTACAGATRTCCCTTTATAATGCTACGCAAGGAAATAAAGCCTTTCGTGCAAAAATACCTACCAAAATTGGAGTTCTTTGCAGATACCGGCAAACTCCCAACGCCGCCATGTTGGATTCTTGCTAACGTGCACTGAAGGACCCGGATGAATTCCGTACCAGACCTCTCTCTTACAATGAGGAAAACAGGCAACCCAAACTTATGGGATAAATATGAAGTATTAGTTCAAAGCCGACAATAAGGATTGGACGGATTTCAAGTACAAGCAATTAGTCCAAGCAATTAGTTCCAGTCCAAGGCGAAGCCTCGGACTGGAACTAATTGCGTGGGCTTGAAATCCCGTCCAGTCCGATATTGGAGGCTTTGAAATGACTTCTCATGCTCATTATTATTCGACTTGGTGTAACTGGAACAGAATTAATTCAGTCCTAGGACTGAATTAATTTTGTTCCAGTTACTACAGTCTGGATTCACTCCTTTCACATGACTTTACCAGGTTTCAAGTAACATCATGTGACCCAAAAATAGCCCATTGATTGGCTGGTTTCCTCATGAATTATTGATGAATATGAGAAGGTATGTACTTTCGTCTGTGCGCTAGCTTTCAACTTCAAGCTGCAATTTGGTAGGCTTTTCTTTGCTTTAGGGAACTGATAGCTGGCTTCAGTTTTTGTTTGTTTTGGCTGCCAAGTAACATTTCACTAACGATACATATAAGAAATTCCGGATGTGACGCAGGCTACATTTTTTTATGTAACATCATATTTTTCAAGGATATTTCTGATGCATTATTATCAAATTTATCATATTTTTCAAGGATATTTCTGATGCATTATTATCAAAGGAATATATACCGTTTATTACATGCATGATAATAAAACTTCTTATAAGTCTTGACAAAAGACTCAATCTGTATCCTTAGTTCTGGTTGGTTGGATTTCGATCCTTCTGTTCCTGTTGTCTGTCTAAAAAACCAAACCCTATATTTCTAAATTTTACTTTTAATTTTAAAACTTTTGAAACGCTATATAATCCCGGGGGGAGTACTACCCCCCACCCCCCCCCCAACCCAACTTGGGTAGGGTTGTGCCGCCAGGACCTCAAAACCCTGACCCTATCCCAGACCTAAAATTTTGATTTTACATACCCTACCCCAGACTAAAACTAAGAATTGTACACCCTGATCCCAGACTAATAGAGGGAAAAGACGGCTATTCAATAGATTGCAATCAATACTTATTAACGTTTTTATTGTTTTTGTGTCGTCAGAAAGCGTAGCCTATTTGCCAGACAAAAACAACCAAATCGTTAACCCTATCCCAGACAAAAAGGTTACCTTATCCCCGACAAAATGTCCAAAAATGATACCCTACCCCAGACCCAAAAGCCGAAAAACCATACCTGTATAGCAAATATAGGGGAGTACCCCCCCCGGGGTAAATAATCGAATCCCGATAGACAAAAATGTGAAGCATGACGACCTCTGACAGCTTGTCAGAGTATACATAAGATCAACATCGCATACCATAGGGAAATTATGTAGGAAAACAAAGGCGCGTGCGAAAAAAATGTTCTAGTGCATTTTTTATTGATTTTTTTACTCTTTCGCATTACAGATGACATTATCTTGATCTCGAATTTAAAAAATCATTAATTATTTAATTTTTCCGATTTTATTTTTACCATTCACTTTAATCTAAATTGGGCTCCCTGTGCACAAACCACAGGCATGCGATTTCTATTTGTTTCCATTGAGAAAAGTTGATTTCTTTTTTATTTCATGTAAGCCTCCTATCCAAGATAATTTTGAGAAGGTTGCACTGTTTCACCCATGCGTCACAAGGAAAAGGCTTCAATCTGGATTCCAATTAAAGGTTTTTTTTCAGAGTGAAATAAAGATATGGGATGGAGCTCGGTCATTAAGGTATTCACATTTACCACATCCCATCCCATCCCGTCATTAAAATGAACATCAGGAATAAAGAAAGCACCTCGATATTAGTAGGGTGGTGGAGTTTTAGCTCATAAAAAGCAAAAAAGGAGAAATGGCATTAGTCAGTCAGTCACCAGTCATGATTACAGGCCAAATTAGTTTCAGCTCAGTATATTTTGTTTCTGGCTCAATGGTACTGGTCAAAATGACCAGAAAGGCAAAGATTTGACTGGRCAAGTTCCAATTTACCCCTTACAGCATGTCGGAATGTAGCTCAAAGTGGAGGACTTAAAAATAGGTTTCTAACCCAGGAGATTGAAATTCTTTTGTTTTATCCTCAACATTGAGCTGCTTTGACGTCACATGCAAGGGGTCTATTCTATCCCAACATTGTCCAACGAACGGCCATTATTTTCAGACTTGGTAGGTAAAATTTTGGGCAGGCAATTGCTTTCCTAAAAAATATATAGTTGCCCAATGTCCTCCTCCTTGTCTTGAAATTATTGGAATATATATATTTTTATTTAATATTTATACATTCCACCATTCATCACCAAGTTCATCATCGTCAATTGTAAATAAATCCTTTGAAGTGACAGGATTTTGCTTCTGATTTGATCGGCAAGAGTCTGTCGACTCACCTGCCTTTTGCTCTGATCTGGTTGCTTTTGCATTCATGAGAAAGGAAGGAATTTGAATGCCACTGCTATTTCTGACTTCATTAGATTCCACACATTGAGCATTACTGATATTGCATATTGATTCAAGAGTCTTAGAATCCATAGTTTGATTACAGGTTGGCACTGATTTTGTTAGGAGCTGTATATTTTGTATACTGTTTTCAGAAGCACCAAATTTGGAATATGATTCAACATGTTCTCCTTCAAATTCATCTTCTATTTGTGTGCACTCAGAAGAACCAAGAAATTTTGCCCACTTGGATTGAGAAGCTTTAGTGTTATTTGTGCATAAGTTTCCTTTGCTATTCACTTGAGAATTAATGCTCTTTGAAGACATTACATTCTGACTATTACATGGGGCATTTTTTGCAGAAGAATCATTCAAATTGACCACATCAAATCTCTTTGACTTTAAGGTTGATATTCCAGCATGCTCATCAAATGGCACAATTTTTTCATCACATGGAATTTCTTCTGGGGATGAATTGAATATTTCCCACTTTGATTTCGATTTTTCTTTCATCTCTTTCACTTTCTGTGAGTCTCTTTTTGGCAAGTATTTTCTATGTTGGAATTCATCTTCATCATTTTCAAAATCTTGAGTCCTTACTCTCTTCTTCTGAGGCAGTAATTCCTCATTGCTTTGGGTAATTTTCTTTTTCGGTTGCTTACTTTGTTTTGTTCCATCATCAAATGCCTTTTTGTTCATTGTAACAGGTATTCCATTCCAAAATTCTTCTTCCAAGTTTTCTTCATCTTAAAGAGATAGAAAACAAAATACTTAAAGGCATAAAGATTAACTGTTAATAGCACATGCATTATTTTGGCTTTGATATCATTTCCTAATCATCATCATCTTCAAAGTGATGTGTGCTTATATAACCATAGGTAAGCAAGTGATTGAAAAATAAGAAGCTTGTTTACTGAAACAGCATCTGGAATGAAACTTAGTTGTGTGCATGAATGCATGAAAGAAACAGGGATGGAAGGGAGGACAGAAGAAAGAAAGGAAGGAAGGAAGGAAGGAAGGAAGGAAGGAAGGAAAAAAGGAGGAAAGAAAGTAAAAAGGAATGAAGGGGGTGGAAAGGAGGGAGGGATGAAGGGAGGGAGAGAATGACAAAAGTATAAAAGCAATGAGGGAGGAAGGATGGATAAAAGGATGGAAGAAATGACGTAATTATGAATTTCCTAATTTTCTGGTTGTTTCAACAATGTCACCATCACAAACATTATCAATGTAATCATGGTTATAATCTGTATTCCAGCAATAAAAATATGTAGTCATACATATTACAGTAACTCACTTTTTATTTCAGTTTCTATAAACTTCTGCCATCTACTTCCAGCTTGATCTCTTTTGTTGCTGAAGTTTTCTTGTTCCAATTTTTCAGTGTCTGTCTCTTCATCGTCACAACAATCAAACTCTTCAACATTGGCATCTATGACTTTTTCTGCTATCAACTGTTCTCGCTCTCCTTGTATTTTGTTTAGCTTCTGTACATGCTTCCTACAATCAGGAGCACTTCCTTGGCCATAAATCCTTGATATTGACTGCTTTTCTCCACATACTTTACATATCCATTTATTGGCCTTTTTCACCTGAAACAAGGTCAAACAATAGTTATATGTAATATAAAGAGCAAACTATATAAAGTCTAGAGTGTTTTGGTGGCATGCTAAAGCAACACTTAAAAGTGTAGTGGGGGCTTATGGCTAAACTAGGTATGGAGGGGGGGGGGRGTTGAAAAAATTGAATAAAGTTTAGTGGATACTCGCAAAATGTCTCTCCCTCTCCATTGGTGGCATGCATCCCTTCCTATGAGAGATGTACTGGCCAACATGTTGATTGACATAACGAAAAACAGCAAGAAAAAATCTTTTGTCAAAGTCTACCAACATGGCAGCTATGATGTCATGTGCACCCAAAAACTTTCGCTTCCTAAAAAGAGGATCAGTTACAGTAACTGGGAAGATTACCCATCAGGTGCTTGACTATTATGATAACTGAAAACCTACCCCTTCCCCCCCCCCCCCTCCGAAAGGAAAACACATGTACATTATATCAAGTCTAAGAAAATTAATTCTTGAGCCTTTGACATTCTTCACCCCACTCTACCCTCTACAGTGACAGATCTAGAATAGATAAATTTTTGTTTGTTTTCTTCCTTTCTTCAGTATTAAATGATACTTAAGTTTACCAAGATGAATTTATCAATATTAGCAAAGCTTTCTTGTTGTACAGATATAATTCTTGGAAGAACCTGAGGGTTGAACTAGAATTTTCAAACTTGGGACCTAATGGTCAGCTTGCCAATACTAAAGTTCTCTGTGCCCCCTCGTTTTGTAATCAGAATTAGTTTCCACCTTGAACTTTGCATTTAAAACTGCAGAAATGTGCAGATTTAGATTTGTTTGAGTTCAATTTAATAAAAAAATAGGCCAGTTTCTTACTACAATCAAAGCTTAATTTCTTTATCAGCTTCAAAGTAAAGATAAACTCACTTGATGAACTTGAAATCTTTTACACGAAAAACACTTCAAAACGTTGAATTCTTGTACCATTCTGATCCACTGGTGTTAAAGGAATGATTCTTTCCAATAACTGGGTCCAAAATCTTTCTTTTTGGCTAATATTCAGAGCAAAACCAAGAGCAAAACAGACAAGCTTTGAAGAATGGATGTCAACATTGAAATTTTTCCCGCCATTATTGTATAGGTTCCAATCTACACTCGGTTTCTAAAATGCTGATCAGGAACGCCTTGTCATTAATGACTCCCCCACAATGTTTTTATTTTAAATATCAAATATTACGATTATTACATAAAAATATACAAATAATAATCATGAAACAAGAATACAAGATGTTTTTCGTAGATTAGAAAATACAAATATGTAAATAACTGAATAGTGTCGCGTATAGAAATATGATTGGGTTACCTGTGGACAACCTCCAATTTTGCCACGGATCGATCGCTGTGAAGGGGACTATCAAACCATAACTAATATAAGCTGCTGTATCTTCACAAGATCACCATTTGGTAATAATTGATTAATCTCTTATTATTTCTCTTATTCTTTATTTGACTTTGCGTGACTAATTTTTGAAAAATTCGCACGCGATAATTGAAGTGTTATTCATTTGTTTTAGCTTGTTTAATTGTTTTTCAATGAAATGCCTAAGCATATTTAAGTTATATATCGGTGAATAATTTATTGTGCTAAATTAATGTGCCCTTGCAAGTACTAAGATCACATCAGATTTCGTAGAATTGAAAATCGAATAGCTCAAATACCATATCATTTAACGTGAAGTTTTCAATTCTAATACGCTACAAGGTAGCCATTCCTCAGGCCATTCCTCCATCAGTATTTCAATGTATACCATACGATCTTGTGTCTTCCGAATGGACTTATGAAATCACTTAAACTTCAGGAAAATAGTATTTCTTTCCTTTCAAACAGAGATGAGCGTTAATTCCGGAAGCATGTTGCGTTCAGCAACCTCAGACGATGAAACTTCCACAGAAAAAGATCCTAACAACAGCGTGGTACTGATCGATAAGCTCCGACATCCAGCTCTGCTTTGGATCGTATTCGTGTTCTTTCTACTTGTCGTTTGGGGCGTCTCGTTATTACAGGCCGTGTTCTTCTTAATCACTTATAAAGAAGAAGATAAACCAAATATAAGGTATTTCCAGAAACCCTAAATATTTTATATTAATTTTGTAATTGAATTTTATAATTAAGTAAGCTGAGTGAGAAATATGATTTTTGTAAGTGCTTAATTTTTGGCCATCAAATAAAATACCGAATTCCTATTGTAAGCGATACCAAATATTCACGCTACCAGGACGATCACTGAGTAAACGCAAATTTATTGATACCAATACGTAAACTGCAATACAACATTGTAAC